ATAAAGAAAAGTAGTTCAAACTCAAAATCAAGTAAAAATCTATTCTAATTCACGCGTCAAGAGAGATTGTCAAGAGAGATATCAAGCATGACCTACCTGTCTGTAACTCTGACTTTTAATATTTTGTCCAACCATTTATCACTGGGTAGTCATTCTACCCCTCAATCACTACACTCAAATGGTTCCCTTCTACTTTTGAAACTACATAAAAGTATCATCATTTTTGGGGCCTAAATTTCCAACGGGGCCTTGGCATCATCTTTATAGGAAGTGACAGGGGAGACAAGACACGCTGCCTCAATTTTGCTTATGTGTTGGTATCTTATTTGAAGACTGTAAATCCACATTTTGTGACTGGACTGCCCTAAAAACGGACGTGATTAAAAAGAAAATTGTTAAAAAGTTAAAGTGTTGGCACTAATTTATTCACACTTCTATAAATTTTTTTTGTTCAGTTTGATTAAAGATAAATCATTCACGTCAAGACTAAAATATTTATAAAAGATATAAAAAATTGTTATGATCTATTCTCAAAAAATAATTAAAATTTAAATTCAAAATATCAAAATTTATAATCCGTTCTGAATATTCTCATGAACAAAGTGGGCTTCTGTTACATGAACCTCAGATTGGGAGCCCAATCTTTTCAGGTTCCATGAGGCTAAGCAATCCCATCAAGTTGCAATAATTGAAGACAATGACTAAACAGATGCGCCCAGAGCACTTATACATAGGTCAACGGTGTCTCATATATTATGATCTTCTTGGTGTCCATTCGTTGTACAGCGTCAACCTTAGATTTTATTTGGGTACGGGAGAGTATTAAATTATTTATTTACAATATTGAACAATTTTTTAACATCCTTGAATTATAAATCCGTTTTAATGACAAGTGTCAAATTGAGGTGTCATTTTTATATTTTTATACTTTATTCTATATGAATCTTTGAATTTATATTTCATCAACCCATTTACAACCTCTCATTTTCTCTCTCCAGAATTGTCAAAAATGCCACCCAAGAAATTTGATGCTATTTTCCAACCCCATATGCCCCCCCCCCCCCCCCCCCCCCC